ACTCATCATTGAAGCAAGCTTCATCCAAAGCATGCCCAAGACTGCATGTGCACAGTCTAGCTTCTGCTCTGATAGAAAGCCTCTTGAATTGCTTGTAGATATTCAAAGTTCTAAATCACTTACATTTGCCAGAGCCTTCTTCAGAAACACAATAACGAAGTAAAAAGCACTAGTCCCCCAAGCCCCTGATTGCTTTTAAATACCACATGCGATGTATAATAATATATCAGAACTCATGGTAGAACTTCACAGTGATTAGAGTGATCATTATATTAGAGTATTAATACATAGGCCTAAGTAACTCACTGTGAAAAACATCAAACTGTCATGCTATGGCTTTGTTGCTTTGCAGTGGAGAGTGAGATGTGCTTCGAAAAGACGCCAGGTGAAAACTGGGCATCTTTCATGAAAAAATTATGTACCAAGGACATTTCACAGAGCACTAAGTTTATATAAAGACAGATAAATTTAGGATGCAAGAGCCAAACAATGAGCCTTAGTCCTGCCAATGTGCTCGTAAGGCTCTGACTCACTAGACTGTTTCAACTTCACATGCTATTGCATGCTGCAGTAGCATCATCTAAAGTCACTAAGACTAATACCAGCATGCATGCTTTAGACATCATAATCTTTGATGCACATCCAAACATCTTCCATACAAAAGACTAAAATGCCCACTTCACCATATCAATACTTGAAATTTTACGAAGCAGTGTAGCTGTGGCTAATTGTTGTTCCTAAGGTCTGTATTTCTTAAGTATGTCTGTGTCTCTCATTTTAATCCCATGATTCCATACCATGCAAGATTTCATGATCTCCTCTCTTCTGAATGTTTCTCAACAAAACTGACAGTCTACCAAAATACTTGCAGCAGATTTGCATTCTGGGGAGAACAGTGAATTTGTGTCAGTATCAGTAAAGCCTCCTTGCTGAAGCCCTGTGAAATTCCCGTGTCCGATATCAGTTCTGTGTCTTGTTTCTTCACTGCAATGTTCACAGTGTTTGTGAATGGCTAGGTGTACATGTGTATATGCTTATGTAGATGCATGTGTGCCTGTTTGTGCATGTGTGCACGCATACATGTGGATGTATGCTCATGTGTGTGTGCTCATGTGTGTGTGCCTGTGCATACATGGATGCATGTGTGTGTGTGTGTATATGTGTGTGTGTATATGTGTGTGTGTGTACTCACATGTGTGCACACACATGTGTGCGTGAGAAAATAATAATAATGTAATTTGCTAAGGTTCCTTTGGCAAAGCATCAGCCAAGCTTTTCTGAGTGCTATATTTGCATGTCATTTTAATTCCAGCTAAGTGCACCTGCTCTGAAAGCACAGGCTTTGGAATCAGGGCATCATTTGTTCAAACAAGAACCTGTGTTTCTCAGCTCAGCCTTCTTGCTAAATTACATCCCAGAAATTGATTCTTAATTAACTAACATAAAAAGTTGATGGTACTTTTCTTGGCTAAACAGAGCAGTCTTGAGACTGGTAATATTTACTTTCTCATAAATACTCTTCTCATCTTAAAACAATCAGTGCCTTCCAAATGAGAAGCTTGGGGGGAAAAAAAAAAGCTTGGATAAGCATGAATTTTATCTGAAAAAAAAAAAAATAGAAATGCTTCAGATAAAATAAAGGCCAGAGGCTGTTATGGAATCATTTTGAAGGAATATGTTAATCTCATGGTTTTAAGATGATCACTGATAAGGTTTCCTTGGTAAGTCAGTGACGGCTACCAAACAAGGCCATCTTCCAGTTAACAGCCCTACCTTCATAACCTGTTGTGGAGAAAAATTAGAGGCCACTGCTGTGGTGTCCCGGTGGGTTTCCATGATGTGGTGGGTCCCACATGTAGGTGGAGGTCTATGGTTCCATTGGTCTGGAGGCTTTGGCAGTGACAGGCCCCATGACATGAGGAAGTCCTTGGTTCCAAAAGGGTTTATTGTCATGGCGGATGGTGGATGAATCTGGAAGTACGCCCCACAAAACTCAGGGCAGTTCCGAGTTATATAGGGAGGGAGAAAGGGGGAGGATCTGGGGAGGATCAGGGGAGGATCTGGGAAGGCATGCTTAATTTGCTCCACCCTCTGGCCTTCATTAGCATGTAAATCCCTAGGCCCTGAGGCCTCTAGTCACACCCTCTATGTGCACTTTGGGAGGGGCTGTCTGGCCTTCATTAGTATGTAAATCCCTAGGGCCTGAGGCCTATAGTCTGGCCTATGTGACTGAAAAATGTAATTCTATGGAGACTAGACTGTTTTTCAGGACCCTGGAATCTGGTGGCCCACCGAACTCCTGCTGGTTCTCACGAAGAGTCTCGGGGTTCTAGGCACCTGCCCAGACATGAACCAGAATACTCTTACGCAGTCCCACAACCTGTCACCATTAGCATGTTAATTTTGTGTATATTATGAATACATCAGTATACTAATGAAGCCTATAAGTCATTTGATAGAATGTTTTTATATACATAAAATACATATAATTACAAAAGATAAAATAATGTCAAAATGCAAGGATTGAAGTATCAAACATGCTTGTCATATAACAAGGCATTATTTTATTAAAATTACAGCATGCTTGTCAGGTCTAGAAGACACTATCCAGTACCAGGTGTTCTGGTGAGCTGGCTTATACAATCTTTCTGTCCTCCCTTCCACAATGTCCCGAGAGTCTTGGGTATAGAGGTTCTATTGGAAATATGCCACTAACAATAATTTTTATAAATAAAGTTTTATTGTCACTGGGCTGTTGTCTATAGTAGCTTTCACATTACACGTGTAAAATCACATAGTTATGACAATCAGAATAACACGACTGATTGATATATTTGGTACCTGGTACCTTAGAGAATATGTTTCTGACCTGCGATTGATATGGTTTGTGATAGAATGACAACTTTGAAATACCAGTCAACACATCAGTGTTTAACAACCCTGGACCCTGTAGGAAAAACTATAGGCAATCAGTGGCTACTGAGGTAGGGAAAACCTACTTTCTCTTGGGGTTAACTCCCTGATAGATTATCCAATCCCAAATGATCTGTCTTAAACACATATGAGCAACACTGAAATGGATGCAGTTTTATGTATTTATACATATACATGATACATACCACATATATTTACAGAAGGAAAGGTCAAGCATTTGTGAGAAATTGGGACCAACACGGGAGATGTTAAAGGGGAAGAGTGAGGATTTAAAATGATGAAACTCAGGGAAGAGGGAGCGGAAACATGTACAATTCAGAGGGGATGGAGGATACCAGAAGAACATGGCCCACTGAATCAGCTAAGCAGGGCTCATACGGGTTCACAGAGACTGAAATGGCATGCTCCTGGCGAGAAGGTTCTGTACCAGGTCCTCTGTGTATGTTACAACTATTAGCTTGGGGCTTTTGTGGGGCTCCTATCAGTGGGAGTGGGTGTATCTTTGACTGTCTTGCCTTTAGGACCTTTTTCCTCCTCTTGGATTGCCTTGTCTAGCCTTTGTATGTGGACTTTTGGCTTTCTTGTTATATCTTGTTTAGTCATGTTTGGTTGTTATCTCTTGGATGTCTGCTCTTTTGGAAATGGAGAATGGATGTGTGTGGAGGGGAGAGGGAGCTGGGAGGAGGAGGGAAGGAAAACAGTTGTTGTGATGTATTGTATGAAAGAACAATTTATTATCACTAAAAATACTTATACTTAAAAATCTCAACAGGCTTTTCTGCAGTCCTAGCCCAAGTCCTTGACCTGAGCAGTCAGTGGGCGGCTGCTGGTGGGGTTCTTGGGACATTCAATGGCCGGATCTGTGAGAACTCGGGGTGCAGGGAGGTTCGTCCTGAGGTCTGTTCCAGCTGCTGAGAAAGCTGTTGATCTCTGGAGGAACCAGGAAGGAAGACCAGAAGTCGAGCCAGAGGTTTAGATATTGAACCTCACTTTAAAGTTGTGAAATAAACAAGACGGAAAATGGCCTAAAAAAAATATCTAAAATTTTAAAGCAGCATAAGGAGGCAGACTCGTTGCTCAGGTCATAGTTAGCCAATCCTTGACTAGAGAGCCAGGGCACTGTGAGTCTAGCATGGTAAATGAGCTTACAAGTCTTTCTGTGAGTCTCAGTACAAGTCACAAGGAAATAGAGTTTAATTCTTCTGTAATAGAGAAAGCCTTATATGATGAACTTTCTGGACACCAGTAATGGTGAGATTTAGTCTATGGCACTTTGCTCAATGGTTCTGATTTGTTTTGATAGCTTGCATTTCAGCTTTAGGTTTGAACTGACTTTCTTTTTATTTGAGATTTTCCATGGTAGCTCATCACTCATCCCTACCCCGTCCTCAATCCTAGAAGTCCCGCATTTGCAGAAACATCACTACAGTAATTTATAGAAAATACTTGCTCATTACTTCTAACCTCTGTCACCAAAATATGAGGAAAGAGAACTTCAAGCCCTTTTCTCTATCACTTTGCCTATAGAGCTGGAAAGTTCACAGGTAGTGAGGAAAAATCATCTGTTTTCCTGTTCTTCCTAGTAATGTAAAAAATATAAATTAGAATCCATAAGCACTATCATACCCCAACAACGGTGCTTAGCGATCATAACATGCAATGCCTGATAGTTTAAAGACTTGACAAACAGGGATTTTTCCGCTTCTTGAAAGGAGAATCTGCATTCTCAGATAGGAGAGCAAAATTCGGTCTTGCTTTGGGTTCCTTTTGGGAGAGGAGTTGTATGAGGAAATTCACAGATTCCTAAGTGTTAACATTTAAATGCAATACCGCACAAAACACGCACACACACCACAACACACATAGTAAGGAACACCTACAACCATGTATTCATGAGTTGAGTTACAAAAAGAGCCCCATTTATATGAAATATCCTACTGCACACTGGTATTTAAAGTGCTCAGTAATTATTTAGCTCAAACATGTTCAAGTGAATCTGGTGCTTTATCTGTTTTGGCGACGATTCTGCATGGTTCTCATCAAACTTCTCTTCTGTTATTTTGCAGTTTTCTCCTCGTGTTTGGTTGCTTGATTTTGTCCGTGTTTTCTACCATCCCTGAGCACACAAAATTGGCTTCAAGTTGCCTCTTAATTCTGGTAAGTGAAGCATATATAGTTATATATCATATATGTATATGGATGTGTAAAAAGTTCATGTCATACACTAATTGTGTATAACACTGATGCTATGCATTTATACTATTGTTTATCCAGAATGATTGTTACTATGAAACATAAAATTGTGAAAGATCACTCAAGTATTTTGCCACTAATGTAACTGATAGAAAAACATGAGAAATCCATGCAGAAATATTCAAGATGCTATCAGACAACAATATCATATCCTATAGGTATATGATGAGAAAAAGGCAATATTTAATGGCAGGGGGTTTTTTTGTTGTTGTTGTTGTTGTTGTTGTTTGGTTGGTTGGTTGGTTGGTTTTTGCTTTCTGCTAATAAATAATTACAAAAGTCAGCATGCATGTGATTTCCCATTATTGTTTAAAAAATACAAGGTAAAAAGCACTTTCCAATAACTGAATTTAGCAGTAGCTAAGTATAATTGGCTAAAAAACTGTATGAAAGTGGTTCCTCATACAAAAACAGAAGGGTCTTTATGCTCCTTTCAACTCACAGACGGTATTAGGAGTTTGCTGCTAATGCAGTTGCCTGGTGAGAAACTGCAGATTTCTCTGTTTCCATTAGGCTGTCAGTCTTCAGCCACACAGAATTATCCAGTTCTCTTTAAAATGGAAAAAGACCCCAAGATATTTTAGTCTGGGTTATTCTGAGCCTTTTAAGCTCTTGTAGTTTCTATTGCAATGAACCTATAGCACTGTAGGCTCCAATCACATCTGATTGAGAGTTTGGTTCATTTACGTCCATTTTAACTTGGCTTACTTGGTCCCAAATCATTAGGCTTGACAGTCTCGGAACTGTGTGAATAAGCTGGAAGAGCCCGATTCTGTAAAGCCTGGTGGAACAGAGGAGGGAAGGGAGATGGTGTAAGATAGTTTCTGTGAAGTCACAGAGACTGATTGTATATAACAATCATTTAATTTGAAAAGATTCTGTGTCAGCGAGGTGGGAAAGGAAAGATCTCAACTCATAATAGGAGAGAAGGCAGATTCTTTTGTGGCCTGTACTTCCATATGGCTAATTTTTGCTTGATGTTGCTAAGGCAGCACCAAGTCTCTCGGTCTTACATACAGACATTCCTTTTTGAATCAGGAATGCATCTATTCCAATTTGTCTCCATACACACTGTACTCAGTGGTATATTGCTAATGTTATGACTTCGATTTCCAAACCAAGGAAGAGAACAAAGCAAGGAAAAGCACTCTGGGGGGTTGTTCTGTTTGCACACTTTCCATTTGGGGAGCAAGTAGGTTTTCTAGCTTGGTCCACCCCTCTGCTTATTACAGATGATGTTTGAAGCGTGAGATCCATGGTTCCACTGACATTAGGTCCACACAGAAGCTGAATTGTAGTTTGAAAATGTAAATATGACTTTCAGACCTGAGAATAAATGATTTTTGAAAACTTCAATCAACTGTATGAATGTGTACATGTTTAGAAAAAAAATCAGAAACAAAAGGAAATCCATGTAACACATATAAGCTCACCTTTTGAAAACCCCAGAGTAATTTGGATCCTGACTTTTCAAACATGGTGTCTCATAAACAACTGATATTTAGCAACTAGGATATGTTTTAGCAAATAGGGAATTGTTAATAATTTTGAGGATGCTGAAGGATGAACTTGAGGCATCGTTCATGGTGGGCAGGTGCTCTACTGCTAGCTCTGCTCCCAGTCCTGAACTTGTCAGTCTTGAACGTATTCAGACTTAACAGAGCAAAACAAAGTGTTTCTGCAAGTGAGCCTTCATTCTGAGAAGTGACCTTGTGCTGCAGGCAGACGTTTCAAAAGAGAACTATCATATAGCTTTCAGTAGGGAAAGAAGTTGTTAATTTTCCTGTTTGGGGGCTATAGAGTTCAGGGTGTCCATATTAAAGCTAAAGAGTGTTCTAGAGACTGCCTGGAAATATGTAAACTATATTGTAAACCTAAGATTCAGTGCAGTCTCCAAAATCCTTCATTTTATCTTTAAAGAGCAATTAAAATGAAACAATTGCGGGTTTTTTTCCCTTGATTGGGTATTGACAAGTTGAAAAGACATGCACATTTTAATATTTTAACAATGAGCTAACACAGCATATACATTAAATTTATTAAGTATCATAGACATTCAATTATAGAGATAGGTAGATGATAGGTAGAAAGATAGATGATAGATAATGATAATAGATGATAGGCAGATAGATGATAGATAGATAGATGATAGATAGATAGATAGATAGATAGATAGATAGATAGATAGATAGATATCATAGGTATCCAGTTGTAGACTATTAGGAAAATATGAGAACACTGAATGATTTAGGAAATCTCCTGCTATCCTTTTTCATGTATGTTTGAGCTGGTTAATCACATTTCAAAGCCTGTCTGCCCTGTGAACATATAATCAAACAGATTTCAAAGAACTCAGTTCTGGCTGGCTGGGTTTTTATTGCTTGGTTGCTTGGTTTTAGCTGCCAACATAGAGAATACCTCAAATTTTATTATCCAAATAGTAATAGGAAGGGCTATTGAAATATAAACAAATGATTTCAATAAATAACCCATCTTATCTGACAAGATCTAACTTTGTACTGGCTCAAAAAATTCTCCTGCTTCAGACTGCTAGTAGCTCAGGATGTAGGTCCATGCCACCGTGCCTAAATGATGTGAGACTTTAACCTTTTGGTGTACACTGTTGGTGTACAAATACAATACTAGAGGAATATTTATAATTATATATAAATAATGTTCACTTTGGATATTTTGTTATAACTCTATTTTTTTACAGTTTCCTTGAAAGAATGTTCATTAAGGTAAGGTATTTTCCGTAACACTCATCCAAATAACAGACTCTTACAGATCTAAGAAGAACATACACACTGCTGGCAAATCTGGCCAGAAACAAACCTCCCAGAGGTGTCTTGGATGCTGTCTTTTCTGTCTCGTTGTTCCATTGAAATCACCAGTGTAGTGCACTCAGGTCATTATGTGGATATTGTCTTGCTTATGGGCCCACGAAGATGGTTCCAGTTCTTCATAGAACCAAGAGGACATCCCAACACTGTTATCCACAATTGCAGTTAGAGCGATAGTACATAATTAAGATCCGTAAACTTGCCTACAGTCCAAACTGGGTGACTGACTTGTTCATTTGCTCACTTACTCTTTCTGTTGGGTAAAATGTTATTTACCTACTTCCTTCAATATTCTCATGTAAATGTCTGCAGACAGGCAACATTTGGTAAATTTTATTTCAATCTTTGTTGCTGTTGTCATCTTTCTTTCTTTCTCTCTTTCTCTCTTTCTCTCTCTCTTTCTTTCTTTCTTTCTTTCTTTTTTAATCCATGTAATTTGGAAAATTAATTCTTTATCCAAGTTTTCTCAGTAAATAAGATTTGGGAAAAAAAATGATGAGAAGCACTAGTATTGCGTATGCCAATGGCTACAAAAGCATTGTCTTATGTGAGCACTTTTCCATATCTGGGATCTATTGACTGCTTGCAAATTCTAGAAGTTTAAAACAGTTAGCAGTAGTTAATTCCAAATTCAGCCTTTAGCACAGTGAGAGCCATGTATCCACTAAGCCCAGTCCGTTGCAGACAGCTATCCCTGTGCTCTAGAAATATGCTATACATTTACAGGAGCAAGGCTGAACAAAATGTTCTTATCCAAATATCAAATATCTTGTTCTGATTTCCAACTGCTGCTTCTGATCAGATATCAGAAAGGAAAAGGTATCAGCTGTGCCTGTTACATCTCCTTCCATTAGGGTGATCTGCCCAGCTGAGGTGATTTATGGGGGAATTAAAAGTTCCTTTTGGCTTTGCTTTCTTTTCTGGATTTGAAGCACATTCTTTATGAATATAATTGTGAACTTGTGACATCAGCAACTAGAAGATGCAGAAGCAGAGCTGTGACGACTCAGACCTTTGTGTAGCATCAAAGTTACACTGCTATAAATTCAAATTAGCCAAACAATGTAAACAGGTTCCTGGAGTAACAAAAAAAAAAGTGCTATAAAATGCACACAAGAGAAAATACAAAAGGAATTTAAACATTTTTACCAACAAATTAAAATTATTAAAACGCTAAAGGAGAAAATGATGTAGGAAATGAGGGACTCAAGAAATTCAGTCTGTAAAAAATAAAGAATGGTGTGGAAAAGGCAGATGTTTACTAATCACTAACTTCTTTAAATATAAATGGGCCGAAGTTTCTAGGCCAAAATACAGTGGTTTAAAGTTGAGATTTTTTTTTTCAACATGTAACTATAAGAGACTCACTTTATATCAAAGACACAAGTGTTTCAATAATAAAAGTTTCAAAAATATAAAAAGTGCAAATAGCAACTGAAAGAGAACAGAGATACTAAATATAATAGACAAAATATACTTCAAAGCAAAATAGAGTTACAAAATACAGAAATGTCTTTTAACAGAGAAGGACATTATAGAGAGGTTCAAAGTTCCATTATAAAAACGTAAATTTTCATCATATAAAGGGTTCAGTATAACAAAGAAACAAAGTATAAGATTGAAAACTATGTAGCTAATAACTGACTAACAAATACATAAACCAAAAAATTTGTAGCATTGGAGAAACAAATTAGCTGGGAGTTGGAAGCAATAAACACCCCACTCTCTGTAACTAGGAAGAAAGGGAATAAAGAAACAGGAGACACAGTGATAAACCAACCTCATTCCAACAGGCATAGACAGAAAACTATACTCAAACATACACATTTTTCTCAAGAGCATATGGGACATTTTCCATGACAGATATACTAAGTTTCAAAATGTCTTTAAAAGAAGGGTATTAGAGGTGGTGGTGGGGGGAGCTATCCTTTCATAATGGAATGAATTTTAAAATCAGTATAGGAAGTAACACTAATGCTTATGCATTGGTGGAAAATAAGCAGTCCCTTCCTAAGTAATGAGTAGGGTAAGGAAGAGATTATAGAGATGAATAAAATGAAA